TTCATGAGTATGAAGTTTAATACCCCATTAAATTCTAGCGTAATGATGTGCAAGTCTTACGTTTCTAAAAAATCGCGTTGATTTTTAATACTTTTTTTCTGACTGCATTACAAATTTTTTTCCATACAAAATAAACTCTACAATTTTTAATGGGCTATTAGACTGCCTACTCAAAAAAATTCTAAAAAATCTGGCTAAAAAGTTGAAAGTCTAGCTGAAACTTTGCAGATTTTTCTTAATTTGTGCACAAAGTTTGAAATCTGGATTTATGTGGTGTTTGTTATATAATGAGCTATACCTTTATGGAAAAATAATAAACATTAAATAGACAAAAGAAAAATAGGCAACATTTATCAAAATGTTGCTGGCTTAATTAGCTGACCACAAGTGTACATGTGCTCTTTTCTGAAAATCACTTGAGGTTTTCATTCGTTTTTTCTCTAAACTACATTGAAATTGAAAATTAATTGAGGGTTTCCGAATTTCGTTTCTGAAATATATTTGTGATTTTCTAAAAAAAAAACCATCGATTTAGCTGTTTTTAAGGTGACAGGTAATAAGATGAACGGAAATAAGGTCAATTGACATTATTTCCCACCCTGGTGCGAAATAAAGTCAATTGACATTATTACCTTTTCAAAAGCGAAATAAAATCCATTAACATTATTGCTCTTTCAAACATTAAATTTGCTTAGCTTCGCGGCGGCCCGCGTCCGCGCGCCACACCACGTCACGCTACGCCACCTAAGATATAACTGTCATCGGTGATATTAATGCTACCTTATATAACGCTTGACAGAAGAATTTACACTATTATAAATTGGAAATCAAAAGTAATATATCAGTGATGACAGGTAATAAGTCCCAGATGGTTTCTAAAATCACAAATTTAGTTTTTGTGCAAATTGCAGATAGAGGGTATTAATGAATTTAAGCCCTCGATATTTCACATTTTTATATTTGTAAGTTATTGGAAGATTTCTTCTGTGTTTTCGCAACAACTTGTCTACAGTAAAAAAGCATATAATTTGTGTTTCAAAAGTGTGTGAAAACCAATCAATTAACTTACATGATCTCGGTTCCGATATTAAATAATCAAAAATTGTTGAATGTGCCATCTAATAAATAGTGTCGTCGTTCTCCTTAGCTGCTTTTAAATGATATCGTCACAAATTGCTGGCGGAGACACGAATACAGTGTAAGAAAATTCCTTTTCTATAATTGTTTCCTTATAGAAAGGGTGGTATCTTTTCCACCTTAGACATTCGGAATTCGTTCAAAACATGCTAATTTAAAACACAGAATTCTTTTAATGTTCCTCCTGTTAATTTATTTCATAAGTCTGGCATTATCAAAATATTGTATGTATTGAAATACCACACCTTTGTATGTGCATATATGACGAACAATAAACTTCACTTGAAGTACGACTTTCGACACGTTTATACACGTGTTCTGACTGATAGGTTTTGGGCCTCACGCTTTTTCTTAAATAATTTTTAAGCAAAATACTTTTGAATTTGAACCATTTACGAAACTATGGCTACCAATTACATTCAAAGTGTGCCGAGGTTAAAAGGCAGAGAAAATTATGATGAATGGTGGTTTGCGGCTGAAAATATGCTGGTACTCGAAGGAAAGGTTCACTACATCAAATCAGCACCTGGAGTAGAAAGAAAAGTCGAAGAAGATGCAAAGACTAAGTCAAAGCTAGTATTGACCATTGACCCAAGTTTGTACGTGCATATAAAGGCAACAAAAACCTCGGAGGAGTTATGGACTAAGCTGAAAGCAATGTTTGATGACTCAGGCTTTTCGAGGAAAATAACCTTGCTGCGACATTTAATCTCATTGCGGCTAGAAAGCTGCGATTCAATGACGACATACGTAACCCAAGTTGTTGAAACGGCACAGAGATTGGATGGTTCATTACTTTCAGCTGGTTTTCCAGAAAGATTTGCGCCAATGATCATGGCAATAGAACACTCTGCAATTAATATAACTGCTGATGTCATCAAGTCGAAGTTGCTCGACATTGAAGTTTCGAAATTCGAAATGGACTCTAGTGGCGCTGCATTCGCTGCGAATAAAGCACAAAGAAAATTCGCCAAAAACAAAAGCAAGCATACACAGGGAATGTAAAACAAAAAGCAATTAACAAGTGAAGAAAAAAGTATAACTTGTTACAAATGCAAGCAATTAGGCCATTACAGAAATCAGTGTCCTCTAATGAAAATAAACAATCAAACGCATTTAGTTCCGTCTTCCTAAATGGAAGTTATGATAAAAGTGAATGGTACGTGGACTCCGGCGCTAGTTCACACTTGACAGCAAATATGCATTGGATTGAAAACGCTAATCATTCCCCTGGCATGTCAGAAATAATCATTGCAGATGAGGCAAAGATACCAGTTGTGTGTTCCGGAGATGTTAAAATTACGACTGGTTATAATTATAATATTACAGTTAAAAGTGTGCTGTGCGTGCCAAATTTAACAACGAACTTATTGTCAGTAAGTGCGCTTATTAAGAATGGAAACCATGTCACTTTTGAAGCTAACCACTGTTACATTCGCAACCAAAAACATGTCCTGGTTGCTCGAGCAGATTTAGTGAATGGTGTTTACAAATTAATATTAAAAACGAGTCCTGTTTTGGCAGCTACTGCAGTAGTAAACGCGGAGTTATGGCATAAACATCTAGCACATATTAACAGTTGTAACTTAAATAAAATGAGAAGTGGAGTTGTTGATAGTTTAAATTAATCCACTGTCAGTGACATCAAGAAAAATTCATGTGTGACCTGCTGTGAAGGAAAGCAGATGAGATTGCCGTTTCCATCTAAAGTTCAAAGAAGTAGTGACGTGCTGCAAATAGTACATGCTGATCTTTGTGGTGCCATGGAAACGAAGTCTATTGGAGGTGCAAAATATTTATTGCTTTTCGTAGATGACTATAGCCGCAAGACCTTCATATATTTTTTTAAAGAAAAAAATGAAGTTTTTGAGCTGTTTAAAGTATTTAAAGCAATGGTACAAAATCAACAAAATAAAAACATTAAAATATTGCGCACTGATAATGGTGGTGAATTTTGTAACAAAGATTTTGAAAAATATTTAATGCAAGAAGGAATAGTTCATCAAAAAACTGTTCCTTATACTCCGGAGCAAAATGGGGTTTGTGAAAGAGCTAACAAAACGGTAATTGAAAAAGCAAAATGCTTGTTATTTGATGCAAAACTGCCTAAAAAGTTCTGGGCGGAAGCTGCGAATACAGCCGTATACCTGAAAAACCATTTATGCAACGTTAGGAGACAAAACCCCATATGGAGCTTGGTTTTCTAAAAAAACCAAACCTAAGTCATATTCGCTTATTCGGAAGCCCAGTGATGGTTCACGTTCCGAAAGAAAAACGATTGAATTAGGACAGAAAGGCTGAAAAACGTATTCTTGTAGGGTACTCCGAAAATGTTAAAGGCTATCGTGTCTACGATCCGCAAAAGAATATTGTCACAGTGAGCAGAGATGTTATCATAATGGAAGAAGTTTCAGTAAACACAGACGAAGACAGTTCTATATGGATCGAGGGTGCAGGTTCGTTAATCGAAGGAGATGAATGCAAAGCAGCCGAGGAATTTTCATCGTCCATGGGAGAAAATGAAAGCAGAGATTCAGTGGGGGAATGTTTATTGAACGAATCTCTGGATTCTTAAATCTCAAACAACTCAGTTTACACAGACCCACATGGAAGCAGTGATGACAGCACACCGTCTACGCCAGCTGAAAAGGGTCCAGAAGTTCAAACACTTGCAGAAGTTGTTGAAAGCAGAAGAACTAGGAGAGCTCCAGATCGTTTTGGGTTTCCTAATATGTGCGTCTCAAATATTTTTTCAGAGCACATGGACTTCTCAGAGGCATTGACTGGTCCAGAAGCAGAACAATGGTAATTTGCCATGCAAGAAGAGCTCCAGTCATTCGAAGAGAACGAGGCTTGGGAGATTACGGACATGCCAAATGGTGCTTCGATAGTTCAATCTAAGTGGGTTCTAAACAAAAAGCTTGACGTAAGTGGAAAGGTGCGTTACCGTGCTCGACTTGTTGCGAAAGGTTTCACGCAGAAGTATGGTACAGATTACTCTGAAACTTTTTCTCCTGTGGTAAAGCGCTCCACGTTGAGAATGTTATTTGCTAATAGTGTGAAATATGCAATGAATATGACGCACTTAGATGTTACTACTGATTTTTTAAATGGACATCTAAAGGAAGATATTTATATGGCTTTTCCTGAGGGGTTTAAAAGCAAAATTATCGGCAAAGTTTTGAAACTAAAACGAGCAATTTACTGTTTAAAACAGGCTTCTTTAATTTGGTACGAAAGAGTAAAAGAATATTTGTGCAAGTTAGGATATAAAATGAGTTTTTATGAACCATGTCTATTTACAAAAATTGATAATGATGTAAATATTATAGTCGCAATCTATGTTGATGATTTTTTGATTTTTTCAACTAATGTGAAGGAGACCGAAATATTGAAAAATGCCTTGGGTTCTCAATTTAAAATAAAAGACCTAGGATATGTAAAACGTTATTTGGGTATGAGAATTCAAATGAATAAATGCAACAGTATAACTATAGATCAACAACAATATATCGAACAATTGTTATAAAGATTCAATATATCTAATTGTAAACCAATTGATACACCTATTGAGTGTAAGCTCAATATTGAACAGTCTAAGACTATTTGAATGAGGAAATAGCGTCAATGATTTTATTTCCAAATTTTTGTTAACTTTATTTCGCTTTTGAAAAGGTAATAATGTCAATTGACTTTGTTTCACACCAGCGTTTCACACCGATGATCTTGTTACCTGTCACCGTTTTTAAGGGTGCCGAAGAAATAACATTTCTAAGCTCCTGAAATACTATCAGAGTGTTAAATTTTCATATTTATTTATGTACCTACATATATATACATATATACATATTTCAACTTTACAGGACCCGTGGTATACCAACATTTTTATTAGGAAACTTTGAAGACCAGTCATTAGACAACAGTGAAGATGTTCAAGCTCTCTCGCAAACTGCAAAAACTAACGAGTATAATTCTGCAGCTAAAACTCAAACTTCAAATTTCAGCAATCAGCTTCAATTTCAAAATCAAACGCAAAGGGAGGACACGACACCACATGCGCATAGTGAAGAAGAGTTATTGTACAACATGGTTACGGAACTGAAATCATCTGATAATACGATACGTAATGATATTACGCCGCCACCAGGTGCTCCAAAACTAGAAAATAGTGCTCGCTTACGTCGATATAGACATAATATAGATTAATACTTAAAAAATCTCGAAAAATTGTACCTAGCTAATTTCAGTTACTCGATACTTATTTTGATAAACAAAAATTTAGAATTTTACCGCATTCATTTACCTCCAGCAAATCCATGAATTAGCTGAGGAACAATTATTACTCCGTTTTCCGAAATAAAGGCGTGGTTCATTTAATATTACACAACTCTGGACTGCGCTTTTTCTTTGGATTGTTAAGCGCGTCTACGTACACTATGTACTTTTCATCCTAAAAGTAAATGCACTTTTCGTACGAAAATTCCTTCGATGAGAAAACCTATGTCAAAGTTTTCTTTTTTCGTTTTCCTTCTACACTTCGTACTTTTTCTCTACCTTGTAAGTATGTACAGTATATACCTATGTATGTATGTCTGTATATACAGTGACGAGCAAAACTGTAACATGGTGTAACACTTTTTATTTCAGCCACCGCTATCTTTCCAAGTTCTAACGACATTCATACTTTTGTTGTATATTCTTATTGGTACACCCCTACCCCTCTCTCATAAAGATTTGAAGTGAATCCAACAACAGTAATAAAACCAGCAGACAAAAATGTAAATTATGGCATATGTTACAGTTTGCACTTATATATTTTTAATAAATTTTTGACAATTTTCACGAAAAAAAAAAAATTGTTAACACAATGTTCAGTATACATTTGCTTTTTTTAGTTCCTGGATGCAACTTGGCATACCTTATGTGTATCTCTGTAAACATTCTGGAGGTATAGCCTCCCATATATCCTTGGTGTGCTTTCACAGCTCATGTACTCCATTGGAAGGATTTGGATACTTAGTAAGCTGCGCTTTTAGTTGATTTCGCAAATTTTCGACGAGATTCATATCCGCGGATTGTGGAGGTCATTTCAAAATAGCAAATTTTGGCTTTTGCATCCAGTCTTTGCGAACATATGCAGTATGTTTTGGGTGATTTTTCAGCAGAAACTCTCATTTTTCGACTACATCTTGCAAATTTTGTTGAATATGAACAGATAATGTTCTTTATGCATAATGCGTACTAACGGACCAACAATATTTTTGAAATACAACCCCAAATTATTATTGACCGACCACTGTGATTCACAGTTTGCCTTACATGATGCGCATGGGCTTAATTTGGGTCTTTGATCCAATACCATGCCCGGCCATCTGATTCAAAGCGATTAATTTAGTCTTGTCAGACCAACTAACCTTCAATTAAATCTTAAAAATGTGTTTTTATTGCATTCTGTAAGGGCTAACATATCCCAATAGGCAATAGGTTTTCGCGCGATCTGGCAAACTGCTTTCACTTTCGCACATGTATTTTGATCAAAATGGTTTTTTCCTCTTTTATTATGACTTTGCGTTCAATTTGACAATTCTTCGCTTCGCTGTCTACTGATTTGCATTCGATTTGAATACCTTAAACGCTTCTATAATAGTGGCTGCAGCGCTACTTGCTACTAAGTTCACAAGATATCGGACCGTAATATTTTTTGGCAGACTTCCTTTGTCCTTGATAACATTTTAGGCTATATTTTTTCTCAGTCTTAACATTTTCACGTGGCGAGCTCCACAATTGTTTGCCACTTTTCCTACGGCCCCGCGTTTCCGCAGTAAATCTATTATTTACATTTATGTTTCCTGATTAACCATATTATTTACTGGTAATCTCTTCTTGAATATATTACAATGCAGAAAAACGTCATTTGACTTCCAACTAAGTAAAAGATAACTGTAAAATGCAAAACTGAGAGTGAGTGCAAAACTGTGACATTGGCCTTAATTTACATTTTTGCCTTGTGGTTTTATTATTGTTGTTGGATTCACTTCAAATCTTTATGAGAGAAGGAGTAGGGGTGTGCCAATAAGAATATACAACAAAAGTATGAAAGTCGTTAGAACTTGGAAAGATAGCGGTGGCTGAAATAAAAAGTGTTACACCATGTTACAGTTTTGCTCGTCACTGTATATACTCGTATTAACAGCCCAAGTGCTCTGGGCTGCAGTGGCGTATATTTTAAAGTTTCTCATATGAATATTTAGAAAAATTAGTAGTACATTTTTTTTCTATTTGTATATATATGAACGCAATAATATTATTAGGACTTGAATCTAGGTGGATAAAATTATTCACTGCTATTGTAGATTAAATTGTTAGGAACTAAGGTTCGGCATTTCTCATTCACAATCTTTCATGAACGTTGCATGATTAAAAAATATATTTATATTAAGTATGTTCGCTTTAAGCATGTATAAACTTAGAAATCTGGTTCTACTTTTTATAAAAAGCTTTTTTTCGAATTTTTTAAGCCATTTCGTAACATTAAAATACTGCCGATTTTTTTCATAAAAGCCTTTGTAGGACTTTTTTTCAATATTAAGTTGAAACTCTCTTTTGGATGCGGGGACCGTTGGGAAACATAGGCTTGTTTTTAAAGCCTCCAGTTTTCATATTTCTGGTTTTCGTTTTTTAACCGACTTCACAAAAAGGAGAAACGTTATCAATTCGTGGGAATATTTTTTATTTCTATTTTTTGTTTATGTATGTTACCGCATAACTTTGGACCACGTTAACCGATTTCTATAATTCTTTTTTTTAATTCTCACAGGTGGTCGGTTTAAATTAACGATAATCTAAGATTTGTATTTGTATAAGATTTGTAATTGAAGTCGGTTTTGTTTTTGGCTTAAAAATTACTTGTTTACCTATTTAAAATAGGGTTCCCACTTTTTTACAAATTTTTGTGGACCGTTGCGGAATTTTTTCAGGACTTTTCAGGGGTTTACCCATGCGGTAGGGGGTAGGGAGGGGGCGCAGCCAAAGTTTCATAAGCTTCTTTCTATGCATTTCATAATCAATTTCCAATAAAAAAAATTGTGCAATAAATTAAAAGTTTAGGGGTCTTCACATCAGCTTCGGTAGTTTTGGTGAACTGCTGGTTGTTACTCGATAATTTTATCAACTGTGAAGCTATCATCTAATTTTTGGGCTGATATATCATGTTTATAAACAGCTGTTTGATGCTTTTTTCCTATACAAAAAATAATTTGTAACAGAAAGTTTAATAATTTTTACCCAATCATATCGGTCATTTACTTCAAAAAAAAGGTAAAATAATTATACGGACAGGTTCTTGAATTCACTTCCGAGCGAATTTCAACCCCTGCCCATTTGAATTCAAAGCGAACTTAACTCAAATTCACTCGGAAGTGAATTGCAGAACCTGTCGGATTATCTTTTAATATTTGCTACTTATTTTAATTTAGGTTTATGTATGTCTAGCGTTCAGAGGTTTTGTAGAAAAAACAAAAATGAAATCGTCACTAAAACAATTTATCGATTTGCAGAAGACCTTCGAAGACTATTGTTTAAATAAGCAAGTAATTTTTTAGCAAAAAACAAAACCGACTTCAAATTAGGATGGGAACACCTCCGAGGCACCACCTTTCCTTTAAAAAAAGAATTATTGAAATCGGTTATGCGGTTTCGACGAATAGATAACCTCCTCCCTGTGCAATTAAGGTAACTAATAAATTTTTGTTTTAGCTCTTCAATAAGTTTATAATTAACTTCATGCAATATAAATTCCTTTGTAGGGCTCGGTACAACTCAATTGGTACAATAACAATTAATTTTTAAGCAAACAACTCAACCGACTTCAATTCTCATATACAAATTTAGAAATACCGTTAATTTTTCCATGATCCAATGATCGGATCTAAACTAAATTAGTAGTAGAATTATGGAAATCGGTTAATGTGGTCCAAGGTTATGCGGTAACTCAAGTAGCACAAAAGTCAAAAATACACCAAAATATTTTGTGTATTTTTTACATCGGCGTGATATACATTTTCAATATAAAAAATATGCTATTTCTAAGCCCAGTTTTTGAACAGTTTATTTCGATTCAGTGTAAAGGTTATGCCGCTTTTTCGTGCATTATTTACACCTACCGTCAATTTTTTTTACTGATTTTCGGCATATATATTATGCCAGTGGTATACAAGTTTTCTTGTTTCTAGAACATAATATAAACTCCGTTGGTGTAAAATACGTATTGGTATTGGCTCAAATCATACACCATAATGGTAAAGAATTTACATCATATTCTAGCATAAATATATTTTCATGAGTGTGAAGAGTACAAAAGGATTCGAGGAATAAAATTTACTACTAATCAAATTTAAAATTAACTCAGACATAAAATTTACACCGAAGCTCTTTTTTAATCTGTGCGACTTGGAATTCCTTTTATAAATCTCAGCATTCCTTTTCGTAATATGCAGGCAAGAAAATCGCGAATATATATGAATGTGAGTTCCTAATTTAAAAACGAGGTACATTCTGTCGAGTGAATTTCGGTACTACCCCCTCTAAAACTCGAGCGCCTCAAAATTTATAAGGATTTGAAGATTTTGAAATAAATCTGGAAAAACTTATATTTTGAAAGCAATGAATTTTTCGCCATTATTAAATTTTTAAGAGATGCGCTGTTTAAAAAAGGTTCGAAAATACACATAAAGTGGCATAGTTGAGCCAATGTACATAATGAAATTGTTAAATTAGTTAAATAATAGTCATACAGCTTTAATATGGCGTCCAGCTGAGTTTCAGTATTAGGCTAAGTTTACAACCTAACGTATTAGCGTAGCGAGAATACATAAAAATCGCTTCTAACCAACATTTACACAGTCTTTGGTGTTTATCGCTGTGCAAGCAAATAAAAATTATGCAGTTTGTTAAAAAAAGCTTTTTCTCATACTTAAAGCCCAAATAAATAAAAAATATACATATGTACATATTTATATAATAAATTAAACATCTCTTCTACTGCTATTATATACAATACAATATGCTTAAGTTTCGGTATAAATTGTCAAAGGGTTGTGGAAACAAAAAAAATATATTAGGGGAATCCCTACGTAGCAATGTATCACACGTTTTGTTGCTTTCCCAACAACAAAATATGTGCTAGATTGGTACGTAGCAACTTTAAATCTAAAATGCTACTCATCGTAAACTCCCCTATTATAAAAAATTAGTCGTGTATAATTTTGCTACAATTTAAACACTAGCTACGTTTTAATCGCCAGCGATTATGCTGGCGAAGAAGTTTCTTTGGATTGAGCGATTTCCATTGCATCGCGTAACGCTATTACTCTAGGTTGTGAACTTAGC